TCATGGACTGTATAAAAATAATGAATGATCCGATCAGTTGACAAATTTGCGTAGGCTGGCAATCTCAGTTACTTGCATTCATAATCGTCAACACTTTCAGTTCAAGTTAACAGTTTGTTTTTAAAATGTAGAAATGACAAATTCCACGTAAACAAATTTTCATTAGAAACAAAATATAACATAAAATCAAACATACAAYCAATYKTTGCCGTTTTCGTAAACTGTYTAGCWTACTTWTYGGTGATTTTTCCTAAAACTTGAACTGAATGTTACTGATAACGTCATCGCTGGTTTGGAAGGCCTTGGCGAGAATATCAGTTGATATATCTGGTTTAGAACCAAAAACCACATTTGCAATCGGGATGACGCCAGGGTTCTGGCTACTCAATGCTGCAATTGCAACCGCGTTCGTCTTCCCGTTGTTTTTTTGGTAATGTACGAGGTTAACTGGGAAAACAAAGACGTCACCCTTATACAATACTTTGGAAATATGACGGTTTTCAGGGTTTGATGTGACAAATCCGACCTCCAAACTGCCTTCCAACACAACCAAGATTTCAGAAGCACGAGGATGCGTGTGAGGTGGGTTGATTCCCCATGGAGCGTAATCAATACGAGCCAWCGAGATTCCCAAAGTGTTGAGTCCTGGCAACTGTGTCACGGAAACAGGGGTCACCCTGGACCCCACAGGATTCGAGGTGTTTCCCATCATGTGGAGCCCACCAAAGTAGAAGTCACTGGCTTGAACCATARTCGGGTTTTTGCAAGTCATTCCGTTCACCAAAACTGCCATAATAAACGTAATTATAACATCAAAATCTAAACCAAAAGATCACAGAAAAAACAAATGAAAACAATCACGGTACCTTGGCCATTTGTGTCAGCAACACAAAAATCTTGAAGCGGACTATGATCCGCTGCCATGGCCATCGAGAAACCGAGAGCGAGAAGCATGATCGAGCCGAAAACACGTGCCATTGATAAGCCGAATGGATTCGAAAAAAGATCGATCGAGTTGTGATGGAATAGTTGTGAATTTAAGGTTGTTTTTATAGTGTGAGAAAGCAAAGAAGCCATGGATGAAAGGCTTCCATATGTTAATGCCGTCCGCGGATGATTGACTCAGTCAAACTACAAAGATCCAAAAGAGATTAAAAAATAGGTTTTTGTATGTGAAGCTTTGTGTTTGTTTCAAGCCGGCAAATAACATTAATTTTGGAATAATAATACGTTGTTTATTATGATCTATTGTTGGATCAGATAAATCAGATGAAGACATATTATTGTTTTATTTAATATAACTTTATATGATTCAGGTTTATCTTTTTTATTTGATGATATGTATTTATCTGATTGGTGGATTGGAAAAGGGACGATGAACACTGGGGCAACAGATTCTCATCCCCAATTTTCAGTTATTTTTCTGTTGTAAATGCTTTTAAAATGGCTTTGAATTAATGGATGGATTTAACACATGTAAAAGACAGATACCATTAAAAAAACAGATAAATACATTAGTCGTCAGACACGTACGACTAATGACGATATTTTGATTTATATAGTTCACGCTTAAAGTTCGTTCGGTTCACGGGATTTTATGAGATTTGAAATTAGATCCAATCCAATCTCGTATTTGGTTTAAGAAATGTTCGTAATTGAGATCCATAAACATAGATTTAGAAATCTCGTTGGGGTAATTGGAATTTCACGGGATTTGGTAGAATTTGTTTGTAATAATGTTTAAAATATGTTAAAAACATTGGTTTATAAAAACCAGTTACCAAAAAGTAATTTAATTATTGTTATAATTATTTATAATTTGTTTTTTAAATTATGTATAAAGAACGAAGTTCAATTACATTCTAAATCTTACAAACCAAACACCAATTACCTAATGATTAAGTGGTCAGAATGATTAAGAGGTTCTCATGATATAATGAAAATGAAATATAATTGTTCGGTAATTGTTTACAATGGAATTAAGATGCTTAATGGTTAAGTGATATTTAGGATACAAAATCATTCGGAAGATTTTATAACTATTAGAAGACAAGACTTTTTTTTTGTCAAACAAGATTCACCTCTTAACGATTCAAATGTTGACTCTTAATAAAACTATTAAGAGGTAAACAAACAACCCGTAAATAACAATTATAAAGAGTTTTTCAAATTTGGAGATTTTCATCTTCTCTCCTACTTTCATTTTGAAAAAAGTTGTGGAAAATCTGTTGAAACATAAATCCTAATATTTCCATTTTAGAGAATCTGTTAGTAGGTCTGTTCATTAGTTGACATCCATTGAATATGAGGGAACCGAACTGATCAATCATCCATTGGATGTTGGATTTTGTCAACTGATCCGATCCGATTAACATTGGATAACCGATCTAATCTAATCCCATCGCATGATTGGATTGGTTCGGTTCCATCAGATATTTTTATTGGATATCCATCAGATATTTAATGGATGATCCGTTGGGATTGGATTCATCTGGTGTGTTAATTCAATCAAATTCTCCACTATAATACAAATTGATTAATCACTTTTAATATGTGTTAAAACCAACACAAGAGAAGTTAAAAATTCAAAGACTCACATAAAACAAATTTTGATTTCATCAATTTGAAAATAAACTAATTGGATGATAGTTGGATGAACAACTAGATGATCATCGGATGATTAATTGGATGTTGATTGGTTCGGTTCGATTTTGGTCGGTTCTGTACTGTCATTCGAAATCGACTGGTTCAAATTGAATGTTGAAATTTTCAATCCAATCTGATCTAATTATGATCGGTAGGTTCTAATTGAATTAATCGGTTCCAATTGGATCGATTGATTTTCTACATGCCCTATCAGTTAGAAATGCATTAAAAATAATAGAAGAAAATTAAATTATATTAAAAAAATCAATCATCACGTGATTTAATCTTTTATCTTTTGAAAGCCCACTCTAATCACGTGAGAAAAAAACAAACAGTTTAACTAAACAATCAATGCTATTATCAGTAACCCATCCAATCAAAATTACTGGCGTAAACTCACCGGCGCCGCCGCTTAAAGCTTTCTCAGTGGCGCCGGAGAATCCACTGCTGTTCCTAGGTCGTCGGAGAAATGATGATTCTATGGGATTTTGATCGGACGATCATGGACGACGATAGCGATCGTTGGGTGGTGGTAGAAATGGGTTTGACCCAAATATTTAACCAGCTTCGCGAAACCTTGCCATGGAATTCTCTCATGGTTTGTATGATTTCCACGTTTTTCTATACTCTTCAACCGATTCGCAACACAATTTCAGTTTGCATAGAATCAATTAAATTGTGCTTTTGATGAAGAATGTGAAGGTTCTGGCGTTGCAAAATCAGCCGATTCAAAACCTATTTGATTGGAATTGGATGGCGTTTGGTTCTAATTTCAATTTGATTTTACTGTTAGGTTTCAATTTTAAAATTAGGGTTCTTCAAATTCATAATTAAAATCATTGATTGGATAATATTTTATGTTGTGTTTATTGAATTCAGGATAGGATGATGGCGGAGCTACATCCTCAGGGGAAAACGATCGAAGATATCGCAAACTGTTTGAATCGTGTTCGATTGCATCCACAGATTGTTTCCGCCATTAGATCAGCTCATGTTCTTGGGTATTTACTAATATATCATCTTCTTGGTTTGCAGTTTCTGATATGGAGTTGAAGTTCCGTTAGAAACCCAAAATTGATTAGGAAACCGGAATCGCCCATAATGCCTCACAGTCCCTCTTTGGTATTCATGATGAATATGGAAGTGTTATTCGTCATGCATCGCACATTATGGATGTGATATTCATCATGAATCACACATTCATGATGAATATGGATGTGTTATTTATCACGTATCGTACAATCATGATGAATATCATGTCCATATTCTTGATAAATATACCATATGTTGCGTTGTGGGCGGTTCCGGATCCTAAATCAATTTTAGGTTCTTAACGGAACCTATCTCTTGTGATATGAATGATTTTAAGGTGGTGATGATTTGTGATTGTTTCAGATGTGACTTGAAGGTACTTAGTGATGCTAATCAGTTCTTCATCGAAACAATCTTGAAAAACCATGGAGTTTATGGTTGCTTTTCGGAGATCATCACGAACCCGACTGTTGTTGATGAAGAAGGCAGGCTTAGAATCTTTCCTTATCATGGTTCAGCCATGGCACCTCATGGCTGCAATCTTTGCCCTCCCAATTTGTGCAAGGTAACCCAAATCATTATAACTATTAAACTCCACCCTAGTACAGTTGTTCGGCTAGATTTGGTTCATTTCCCAAGTCTATGTTGGAATCTCCGTACTTTGCCTAAAACGTTTCTAGATATTCTCACATGGTATCAGAGTCAATGTAAGGTCTACCACTCTAAGGACTTGACACACTAGTAATCAGTATTGTCAATGAGCCGAATTGAGTCGAATAGCAGGTTATTTGAGCTCGCCTCGAAAAAATAATATCAGGTTTTAACTCGTTTATTTGCTCAAGCTCGGATTTTCATATTTTGGTTATATAATTTGTAAACATATAAATATGTTCGACTCAAAAAAGTGTATGCTCCACTCGATTCGTAAAGTTTAATCGAGCTTTCGAACAAGTTTCATCGAACACTGATGTTATGGAGCTCGACTCGTTAAGTTAAGCGAGCTTTATTTATTGTTCGAGATTGATTCGAGCTCGAGAATTATTAATATTGAATTTTGACAAGTATCGATATTGAATTTTGTTTCGTTTTTCAAATGGGTCTGTTGAGCAACAATCTAACAGGGTTCCGTATATTCTAAACAGGGATCTGTATTGAATCAACTGCAAGATTCGAGGTCCGAAAATGGCAAGAAACACGTAATAATCTACATCGGAGACGGGGGAGGCGATTTTTGCCCAACCTTGAAGCTTGGAGAAGAAGATCATGTGATGCCAAGAAAAAACTTCCCTTTACATCATTTGATTTCAAAATCGTCTGTGCCCATCAAGCCACAAGTTCATGAATGGATGGATGGAGAAGAACTCAACAAGATTTTGCTTCGGCTTACTGATTCCGATTCAGCTGAAAAACAAACAGTCTTATAACTCTAATCTCTTATTCATTAAGACATAAATTATGAATTTGAGGTGTTTACTGAAAAACAAACAACACGTGAATGATGCGTGATAATTGAAGTCTTGTAGTTTTTAATCTTCATCGAGAGATTAAGTTGGTGTTGGTTTTTAGGGTAGTGGGTATGCGCGTTTTTCTGGGTAACCGTGGATATCTGATTCAGCTTATACTTATGTCGACTAATCGTATGGGCACTGAAAATAGCAGCTAGGAAAATCTCCAGTGGATTGATGAGACTCGAACTAGGGTATGAAACCGTTAACTTTTTTTTGGGACAATAGGTGTGTAGATTTGGAACTCAAAATATGTGTATATCAAACAGGGTCGTCCCTTAACATGTTAAATATGGGATTTTGAAGAGGGCCGCTGAGATTTTGGAGTCTAAATTTACATGTGTTTAGGGTCTTTTTATCGACATGTGTAAAACTATAGCCGAAATTATTTAGATTCAAACCATTAATTATTTGGTTTTAGGTTCAAATTATTAATGGTTCAGGTTTAGTTTCAGATTGTTAATCGTTTTAGGTTTAGCCCATTTTGTTCTTAACATATATATATTCGTTGTTATATCTCATTTATGCAACGTAGTCAAAAGTTTTGGATATAGCAGAGCCTTTAAAAAGATTGAAACGTTTCTGATATCAAGGCCACATTTTACATACAATTATTTTGGGAATTGCAACAACTTTTATTAAGGAGATGTTTGTTTACCTCTTAATAGTTATTGTTAAAAGTCGGTCTTTTAATTGTTAAGAGGTGAATCTTATTTGGCAAAAAAAAATTTGTCTCTTAATGGTTCTAAAATCCTCTGGATGATTTTGTATCTTGGTCCTCCCTTAACCATTCAGCGCCCTAATTCCATTGTAAAAAATTACCGAATAATTATATTTTATTTTGCACTATATCATGAGAGCCTCTTAGGGGCCGTTTACCCAAATGCTTATCCGGTAAGATCTTACCAATAAGAGTCAACACTATAATTTATTTTGATGCGTAAGATTTTCGTACATCAAAACGTATCGAATGCAACTATTTACTGGGTAAATGATTACCTGGGTAAGAGTCTTTATCTTTCTCATCGCTCTTACCCAGTGAGATTCTTGGCCCTTCTCATGTTCTTCCGATGATGAAATTTATACGTTAAGCACTTACCAAGTAAGTGTTTAGTAACCGGCCCCTTAATCATTTTTGACCACTTAATCATTTTGTACCAAACCATTCAGCAACTGCCAAACAACCCCAAGATAATCAAAATATAAAGGGTATATATCACTTGTGTTTCTAATTGATTTGAGCAATAAAAAGAGCATTTTCAAAGTACATATTCGTGATACTTGTTAGAACTTTTGAAATCTTAACCTGAAAATAAATCATATAACATTTTTCATGTACAATTCACGCCGATAGTGTTGAAGAAATCATGCGTCGATGTGGCTTTTGATTTTTGTGCCCGACAATTTGAACATTGTACCAATGAGATAAAACCGTAATAATAACTAGAGATGCATAATGTTTCATCGTTTTCAAACTTAAGACCGGGCCTTTCAAACCGATTTTTCATTAAGTAAAAAAACCGGGCCAGGTTCTGGAATCGAAGGAGTAAGTTTTCAGGTCAATCTTTAACTGGCTGAAAAAAGACTTTTCGGGTCAAACTTTGAACGGATGAAAAAAGAGTTGGCCTCGTTAGGCTTCAAGGCCGAACGTGGGTCTGGACTAGAGCTGCTAGTCCCAGGTATTTTCAAACCGAACTTCGAACTTGCAATTTTTTGTGCATCTCTAATAACGAGAAAAAGAAAAATAAACCACAGGGTAGTGTTTGATTGGTTTGAGTTTGGGCTCCAAAGGTCAAAAGTGTCTGGAGGTCACATGTTCAAATCCAAGGAGGAATAAAAATCCCCTTGTGGCTACGGATGTTCAAATATGATGACTTCGAGCTACCCGCATAGTAGGTGGTTGCCCTGTAATTAGTTGTCTCACATAATGGGTTGGATATACTGGTTAATAAAAAAAATGAATGATTATATTGACTATGATGTTTTTCCATTAAAACATTAAAAAAAATGGCGAATATTTAAATTATTTAGTTGGTAATTGGTATGTAACTATGTATTGGGCCGGGTCCAATGGGCTTTCTGTAAACGGGTCGAATGGGTTAAAGCGGCCCAAACCCGCGTTCATCTTCTTCACTCAAGTGACTCAACTACACTGTCCCAAGCTCACAGATCACAGCTTTGCATGATGCTTCATCTTCTCTCAAATCTCTGATCGTTTGTTCATTGTAATTTGAGATTTCAGGTTCAATTTCTATTATCTTTCTTTTGATTTGTGTAGGTTCTTCGTCAAATTAATTGTTCTATCTGAAATTATAGGTATATACTTTCGATTTGATTGTTTTAATCTGAAATTAGGGTTTCTACTTCTATCTGAATTTAGGTTTGCATCTTCAATATTCACCTGTTTCGGTTTGCCTCGATAGGTTTCTACTTTCTTTCTGAATCTAAAATAAGGGATGATTTTTGGTTGCTGGTATTGGTTTAACTAATCAACCATTTTCCTTCACCAATCAATCGTTCCTTCATTTTGTTGTAGTCATCCTTTGAAGGTTATCTGGCATTTTTGCATTTCAAAGTGATTAATAGGATCAAATTCAGAGACTGGGTTTATGAAATAGTTACAATTCTACATTTACCTTGTTTTCTTATAACAATTCTGGCAAAAATGGAAGTCTGGATTCATTTCGCAAACTCCGAAAATTGAATACTGTAACTTTGCACATCGTAACACTCCCTTCGTCTTCATATAGTTGTCGCTTTTACTATTTGCTAACCATCCGCATAATTGGATTGTTCTCATTCGATGCTACTCTCATATTGGCATCTCTCAGCTTTGTGAAAGTTTGAAATCTGCCGCTGTTGCTGCCATTGTTTCTCAGGCATGGCAATTGAGCTGTTAGTTTGTTACTGTAGATAGCTGAAACATGTGTTGGACTGTCCGTAAATGTGCTTTAACAAAAAAAAATTGCGTATTCCATATATATATAGTTTTATGGTATATCATTCATGGTTTTCACCTATCACATGTTACATTGGGATAAACTTGTGATGATGTGTGTGAAAATATGTGGAACACTGATGTATTACTCTCCAAAAGAGTCCTTGATGAGAGAATTGGGAGGTTCTAACGTATATAGAGGAGAAATGGTCCAAGTCTAGCTAATGTAGGATTCTGTCACGCTCCCTCCAACGGAGGCTAGATGGACACGATTGTCCTTGAGACCATGTGAAAATATGTGGGTCACTGTTATATTACTCTCCAAAAGAGCCCTCGAGTAGAGGAGAAATGGTCTAAGTCTAGCTGATGTGGGAATCTAACAGTGTGGGTGGGATGGTGTTGAAACCATGAAAGTACCCTTTAAATGTTAAATTTAGTTGGATGTAATTTTGTTTGGAGATTTTGATTTTACCTTCTCTATTTTGGAGATCAATGAAGAAACTGTTGAAGATCCTCTAAGATTCATGTTCTTAGATATATAAATATGCACCCTCGAGCCTCGACAGGGCGCATTTATCTCGCCCAGAATGAATACCGATTCGCCTAATTGCTCAGACCTTGAAGATCCAATTTTGGTCCATACAATTAGTGGCATTCTTAGTTCATCTTTATCCTCATGGCAATCCAAAAATATTGTTGGGTTTAGGGTTCGGGAGAAATCACAGTAACACTTGGATTAAAATATGAAATCATGTAGAATCACTTTTCTTAAGAAATATTTCGACCATTTATCCTTCTCGGGTTGCATGAAATTTTCTCGAGGATAATCTCAATTCATATTGTTGACTTAGGTAAAGTTTTGTATATTAAAACCAAGAATGAATGCACCTATGAAAGGTAGTCAGTTACAGGAAGTTATTGGGTGGTTAAGACAAACGGTTGTTTTACTAAATTCAGAAAGTGACCGGCCTTATGAGCCCAAGTCCTGCCTTCATAAACTAGCCAATAGCCATACCTTCTGAACTCAACATATCCTCTAAGTTCAGGACTTGGTATTTCAGAAGGCATATTGCTTTCTGAATCTTGCTTTTGAATGACATTGCCGGGGGCATTTCCCCTAGAACCCCACAAGGGGGTGCGGCCACCTTTGACCCCCGCCTTTTGGCAACACCCGTCTATCCCGGGTCTTAGTTAGCTTATAAAAGTGTACATTCTTCACCTCCTAACCCGTGTTAATGTGTTATAGCTTAACTACCAACCCCTTCATTCTCTTGTGAATCCAATTATATAAAATGGTCTGATGATTCACCACAACAAATTAGCATGCTATTTTTTATAGGTTACTTGCTAATTAAAAGCTTTGAGATAAGTTGGTTATAACCAAACCAAACGAACCCAGTACCTCCCACATGAGATGGGGTCTGGGGAGGGTAAAAAGTACATAGACCTGACTTCTACCCCAAAAAGTATGGCAGCTGTCCCCGTGAAAATACTGAAAAGAGAGAGAAGCATATATGATAAAGATTCGAAAAGTTGGTTATCTTGTAATGATAGTTTGTTTCTTTTATTCTTATACAGTCTACATAAACTATAATAGAAAAAGATGCAAAGCAACAAGGATGAAAAAACATATCGAGTTAGAAAGCTTGAGATAACAGATAAGAACAAGGGTTTCATGGAACTACTGCAGCAACTTACGGTGTGTGGTTCTGTATCAGACGATGAATTCCAAAAGCGATTCGAAGAGCTGCGATCATACGGTGATGATCATGTTATATGTGTGATCGAAGACACGAGTTCATCCAAGATCGTTGCAACTGGAAGCGTGTTTCTCGAGAAGAAATTTATACGGAGTTGCGGGAAAGTTGGACACATCGAAGATGTGGTGGTGGATTCGAGTGCGAGAGGGATGCAATTAGGGAAGAAAGTGGTGAGTTTTCTTGCAGATCATGCTTGTTTGATGGGTTGTTATAAGGTGATTCTTGATTGCAGTGTTGATAACAAGGCTTTTTATGAGAAATGTGGGTTTAAAGAGAAGGAAATCCAGATGGTTAAGTATTTCATTTGAAGATAAATTTAGAAATTTGGAGTTCGAATTCGTTAAATTCGAATCGAAAGCTGTCGTGTTCATAATTGAGGATCTTTGCTTCTCTTACTTTGGTTGCCTGTGTTTCCGTTAGTTGTCGTCCTGAACACGCTAGATTTTAACGGACTTCATTTAGTCGCGTTTGTCAATTTTCGACAGTTTTTTCTCTCTCTAATAGCCGTTACTTTTGTAGTAAATTGCTATGAGATTGTCCCGCTTCATCGTCACCTACGAGATTCTAGTTAGTCCGTTGTTGTTCTCTGAATTAATCGGCTAAACACAATTGCCAGCCTCTCCTTTGTGTGGCTTCAAACACTCACTAAGCCCCTATTGTGCCTGTGATTTGTTAATAATTTTGATTTTTGTCCCTATGGTTTGGATTTTATTGATATTTTCGTTCCTGAACTAATTCTTACCTTTAAGTACAATGGATCAAAACAATAAAGAATTGTAAATCATATGGACCAAAACAATGACAAATTGTAAATCATGAAAACAAAAATAGCAATTAATTTCTATATCATAGGGAAAAAAATCACAATTTTTGATAAACCACAAGGACGAAAAACGCATTTTTTTTTTGTGTTGAAGTCCAATTGAGAGGTAGAGGAAGGATCGATGTGAGAATGAAAGTTAAGATGAGAAATGTAAAAATGAATCTGGACCCCTGATTACCTTCAATCTCAAACCCACCTACGAGTCGGGTTTGATACGGGAATTGGTCTGGTCCATCTCATCCTAATGTGTGTCCAAGAGTGGAGATCTCTTCTTACGTTTCTCAACTTAACTCTTCTTCTCACTGGAATCCAATCCTCGAGGAGTATTTCAATGATTTTACTTATTTTTAATTTTTTTATGTACAACTTTTACTGTATTAAGACATCAAGCGCCAAAAGAGGTTTGAATTCCTTTAAAAAATTTGTGAGCAATGTATATATTTTTATTGTATTAGCTATATCTCCAATCTTACTTCCTACATTTAAGTTAAAAGATGAAATATATTTATATTAATGTGAGAAGTAAAATAATACATTATTATTATCATGCTCATTAATGTAGCGAGATACATATCGATTCTAATATTTTATTTTATTTATTTTTTTGCAATGTTATAACATAGTTTTACGTGGTTTTGAGAAAAAAACAATATTTTTATTTTTGAATAAAATTTAAATATGAAGATATCATAAAAAATTGAAAAAAAATATTGATATTAGTACCAAGTTAATTATTTAAAAAATTTCGTTTTTAATTGTGTATTTCTTTAATTCATTTTTTTATTTTTGTTTAATAACATAAATTTATAAAAATAATAATCAAGTATTTTGTTAGAAGTCAATGATTATCGTACTTATATTTTAGATTTTTTATATTTAAAAATAAGATATTTATTCTCTATTTAATTATGTTTATCTACAGTTAGTTACGCGAATCAAAACATGAAGCTTAAATAAGTTATACTTACGCATAATTTACTGGTAATCTTAAATTTTAAGTAATATAAATCAATAAACAGTACTTCATGCATAAAAAATGATTTTTAATTTTTTTTGTCAAATGCTTTATAATATAGCATAGATATATCTTATAGCTGATGTAGCTTTATCATTTTATGGGGGCATTATCCGTTAAAAAAGGGGGGTTTGTAACCAAGAGCTCCTAGCAACTTCTTGGATGGCTTACATTATCCCGTCCCAAAAACATTATGAGACAAATCAGATACACAAAAAATCCAATCCTCGAATATATTGCAACTCCTTGTTGCCGGACTCGAAACACTTGCATATTCGAGGCTAGCATATAGCTTAGCTATGAAGAGTAATCTTTCTCGTATACAATTTAATACAAAAAAGACAGACAGACAATAGACCCACATGATGTTACCACCAAAGCCAAAAGGTTAACCCAAACATACATGCATTTAAAACCTTCTGACATGTAGCTCAGTTGGCAAAGAGGTGAGATGACTTTTTACAAATATAAGTCAGGTCTTGAGTTTGATACAGGCCTCCGCTAACTCAGCAGCCAAGTGAACCAAAAACGCCCCCTTGTATTAGTGTCCTTGAAAGCAGGTTCCGTGTGGAACCCATGTTCGAAGTAATCAACTTTTTCTCCAAAATATTGTTTGCATTGTTTTCACATAACCAAAGAAATTGGATAAGTCAGATTACCTTTTGAGCTCATACACATCCCTAACTTTTGCCATCATCACCATCAACCTGCTAATCAAACCCACAAACCCACAAACCCAAACCTTCATTTCTCTTTCTTCTTTAACTTCAAAAAGACAATGCATCCATATACATACATATATATACACACACACACATATATATATATAACATTTATATATAATCACATAGTATATTACATTTACTGACCACAAACTCAAATGAAACAAATTCAAATCTACGTAACGGGATTAGACTCTTCGTTAGGAGTGATGATGGATTCACGACATACAGATTTCCAGTAACAGAAAAAAAAAATCGTTCGAACTACAAATACAAAATCAACGATGTTTTAAGAAGCTAAAATCAGAATTATCCGAGGAGGGGAGTATGTATATATAGATATATGTATATGTACATAGTGGTGCAGGTTGGGTTAGTATGTAATGTATAGGGCTACCTTTCTTAGTCGGTAGGAAGGGCCGGGGGTATTTTAGACATTTGTTCCTTTGGATTTGAAGTTAAGCTCGTGTCGACTCTTTTATGCACCTGTGCCGAGAAGAATCAGACGTCCATTGCCTGTGATTTTGAGTCATGTCTTTTTTTTCCGTAGTAATTCATACTTAACGATACATTATAAATCATGAGAGACATCTACCATCAAACTAATACGTTTGGCAGTGTCGGAACGCATCAGTTCTCCTTTAAACAGCATCTGTAATCAAAACACATCGGTCATTATTCCCAACAATGAATATATATATATATATATAGCCAAAGATTATTTAGAGAAGTGATAAATATTTTATAAGTAAAGAAGTGATCCTCGCCCTTCATATGGTCAATAATTACGGCTTTGACTGGTCAAAAAATTGCGGTTGTGCTAAAAATTGAAAGGGTAGTTTCTTCATGTTTACATATAAGCGGCAAAACGGGTTCATATATGAACCTATATGATTCACATATGAATTATATATCCATATATGAACTCATGTAATTCACATAAAAACTATTTTAACTGATTCACATATGAGCCCATGTACTTCACATATGAACTAATTAACTGATTATATATGAACATGTGGGTTCATATATGAATCAGTTAAATAGTTCATATGTGAACTAATTAACGGGTTCACATATGAACATATAGTTTATATGTGTATCACATGGGTTCACATATGAACCCGTTTGCCGCTTATTTGTAAAAGCTACGAAACTACTCCTCTATCTCCCGAATACCCATGCAAGGAATTATCCGGTGCTTCACGGTCAAAGCCGCAACTGTTGACCAGATGAAGGACTAGAATCACTTCTTTACATCTCAAATGTTTACCATTTCTCAAATGAACCTTTCCCTATATATATATATAGAGAGAGAGAGAGAGAGTTTATTTTACAAACCATAATCAATTTCGAGATATTTTTATGGGAAAAAATATATCATGATTCATTAATTATGATTGATATTATATGGAAGATGGCAAGTTCATTCATTATGATCATGATTTCAAAATAGAAAACAAAATGAAATCAGATATTTATTAGACTAGATGGATGGCTAAGATTGGTTTGTAAGAATTACATGGTTTCTAAAATAACAAACCTCCTCATACATATATACATATATATATATATATACACGAATAACTTCCAAATGCCATGGTACTAGAAATTCTGTACAAGATCTTTTATGATCCACTATGGTAATTGCTAAGCAATTGCCTAAGGGCCACGTAGGAGAAAAAGTGCTGATGTGGCACACTTTTGTATTAGAAATTATGGTTTTGGTAATTTCTAGTATTAATATCCACTACAATGAATTTCTAACACAATTTCTAAAGCGTCATGTCAAATTTAGCAATTATTCAAGAATTACCTTATGCGACAACAATTTCTACATAAAAAGCTATTTTTTAATCAAATAACAACAAAATTATAATTTATATCAAATATGTATCAGTTACATATATTTTAATCAAATAACAACAAAATTGCAATTACATATTATTTACTATAATCTAATACTCCCTCCGTCCCAAAATAAATGTCCACAATGAAAATGGCACACAGTTTTAAAATTGTGTAATTATTACAATTTTTAAATAACTAAAAGACACTTTTACCCTTGATAATAGAGAGAGAAACTATTTCCATCTCGTAATTAAGGGTATAATAGGAATGTGGACACTCAATCTAGACAAACTAAAACAGAAATGTGGACCCTCGATTTAGGACAAACTAAAATAGAAATGTGGACACTATTTAGGACGGAGGGAGTATCAAATATGTAACTTATAGTAAGATGTAATTGTAATTTTGTTGTTATTTGATTAAAATGTAGATTTTCATGCTGCTTCGTTACTTAAGAAATTATGTAGAGAAATTGTTGTTGTAGAGGGTAATTTCTGAATAACTGCTAAAGCTGACATGGCATTTTAGAAATTGTGTTAGAAATTTCACTGTATGATGCATTAATGGGTTACGTTGTGCAATGCATATTTTCGAACAATGCTGGTAAAACGTCTATGAGAAAAGATCGTCACCTCTGTATCGGGTGAGAACCAACGCAATAATACTCCAAGATGTACAACGGCAGGAATTAGTTTGAAAAGAAACGGTGTCGTCACCTGCACAAGAGAAATCTCATTAATGTGATCGCATTTGTTCGCTTTTGGTTCTCTAAATGGATATTCAAGAAACCATATTAAGCAAACTTAACTATGAAAACGTTACAAGCAACACCAAAAATAATGGTAAATTTTGGCATTGTTATGGAATTCATGTCAATCACCCTGAGAATTTGTGGTACTCCTTCCGTCCACAAATAAATGTCCACAATAAAAAAAACCAATTCAAGAATTGTGCAAGTATTAAACTTTTTAATTAATAGAATTACAACTTTACCCTGAAGCAAACCTTCTCTCTCTCCATCTCGTCACTCTTAAATATTCGTGCGTCTTAGTTAAAGGATAAACTTGGAAATTTAGTAAATTATAACTACTTATTTTTGAAAGTGGACGCTTATTTTAGAACAAACTATGTTTGTTTGCAGCTTATTCGGTTAGCTATATATGATTGTTTGGTACTGACTTAATAATATGGGAGGTGGCTTATTTAGTAAAGCTTCAACTAGGGAGCTTTGTGCAGAAGCAAGGTTTAATCCAAACATTCCCCTCCCAAATAAAAAATATGATTCTTCCATCTATGAAAATACCCTCCCAAGAAAAGAAAAAAACATTTCAAATCCATACCGACATATTAATCCACACAAATAGCTTTATCCATACATGACTTAATGGAAAACCAGCTTAACAGGCCCTTAAATAGAAATATGGATAGTTGTTTTAGGACTGAGGAAGTAATTTTGAAGTTGAAAACTGAATGGATTGACTTCCAAATGAAATTGCATCTCTCTCTCTCTTTCTCTCCATCTCATCAACTCTTAAATATGTGTGCATCATAGTTGAAGGATAATATTTGAAATTTAGTAAATTATAACTATTTATTTTTGAAAGTGAATACTTTAGGACGAACTCAAATAGAAATACGGACACTTTTGGGACGGAGGAAGTAGTTTTGAAGTTAAAAACTGAATGGATTAACGTCCAAATCAAATTTGCATCTCTTCCCTTCGTTTTTTTACTGTTACAGTGGACAGGAGGGGAGATCCAAGATAATGATGACAACTAACGTACCAGGCTGAGAGCTGTTGTGCCAAGAAGCAGTAGATACAATTTGCCCTGCAAAACAGGCAGTTGTCATCATGTAATGTTCCCGTTTTGAAATTGTAATGGAAAAAATTGAAAGTGCATGTTTTATGAATCACACAGCTATATGATTAGGGGCGTAAACAATTTGATCTTTTAACAAGCTACTCGAGCTCGAGCTTGATCATTCTCGAGCGCGAGTCGATCTCAAAAAGAAAATAGAACTCATTTAACTTAACGAGTCGAGATCCATGACACCAATGTTCTACTCGTGCCAATAAACAAGTTAACCGATTGCGAATTCAAACCCATAAACGAGCATCAAGCTCGAGCACAATAATTCAAAAAATATCCGAGCTCAAGTGAGCCCTACTCTGAAAAGCTATTCAAGTCGAACTCGAGTCTGGTATTATTTTTACGAGCCGAGCTCAAATAACTTACTACTCGACCCGCTCGGCTTGTTTACACCCCTAGATATAATAACCAAAAATTATTGTTATTTTGGGCAGGGAAGAAAGTGGTTGAATTGAAATATTACCTCAATGAGATGAAGATTAGAGGCACGACTTAGAAGGACAAAAGCAAATTCCCCGATTTGGGCAAGGGACATTCCAACCTACATCAAGTTATAAACTAAGGTTCATTTGTCAATAAAGCTAACAGAAACTATTAAAAGTACACGAGAAGTAGCATAAAACCCTTACAAGAAGAGCGGTCTTGTTGGTGTATCCAAATCCTTTGACTACTGTGGCAACTACTAAAGTCTTTATAACAACCACCATTATAACAGAAGCTAGTAAAATATCGATGTGGTTCCAAAGAAATTGAACATGAATAAGCATCCCGATGCTGGCAAGAAAAAGAGCAGCAAAGAAATTCCGAATGGGTTCAACCTGAAACAAAATGAGCTCCAAATTAATCAACAAAGTGCTTTCTCAATTATTAAGAAATGAGTTCCTTATAGAGTATGACACAATCAAAATGAAATATAACCATTTTCAAATACAGAAAAAGGAAAATCAGATCGTCATTTTAAGAGCTGGAAGGGAAATTAAAGCAACAAAAGTAAAGCAATGATTTTTTTTGTTGCATTTCTCACATTTTGATTGGGCAAGAATAAGAAAATAAATGCATTGTCATACTTGAATCTCGGCAAAGCTTAAGGATATATATACATATATGAAGCAAAACGTGACGAGCAAACTTCCCTGGTAGGAGGCAATTTGAAACTAGGATGGGTCAAATAATACTCCCTCCGTCCTACAATAAGTGTCTACTTTCCAATTTTACCCTTAATGATGAGATGGAGAAATTTGTTAATCCCTCTATTATTAAGAGTAAAATTGTCATTTAGTTAATTAAAGAGTGTAACAATTACGCATTTCTAAAACTATGTGCCTTTTCCGTTGTGGTGGTTTATTTTGGAAAGGAGGGAGTATTACATCACGAGTAACAATATATGTCAAGCAGCGACGGAAGAAAACTACAACTAAAGAAGATGATAATAGCAAAACTGAAAAGTTGAATAACAAGCTCAAAAGAGTTGGTATGCCGTAGGGCCAAAAAAGTGTAACGTGTAGAAGAAAAGACTGTTGGGTTGGGTTTCTGGGAATTCTTGATCAAAAGGCGGTAATACATGCATTAAAATTCTCTTAAGTAAAACTAGGCTCTATAGCAGAGTTCAAAACACAAGCTGTATGCAGTGAGTATTGAAGGCACATAAAACCCAAACCAAACCAAACAAGCATAGTATATCCCAACCGGTGGTGGGATCTGGTGAGTTGAGATGTATGCAGACCGGATCTCGACTCTTAAAGAGTAGAGCGGTTGTTTCCTTGAGGAACTCCAGCATGCGAGAAATGTGCAAAATAAGTCAAAAGTTACCCCAATGAAATAAAGGGACATAAAACCCCGCCACCTAAATTGTAAACCACGGAATCCGAGAAACCATCAAACAACAATATTTTACAAGGTCACCTAAGTTGTCAGTTATTTGACACACGATGTTTTTACTAAATGGGTCCTTGAAGCGTTTTTAAGTTCTAAGCATACCAGACACATTTATACTTGCTATTCATGAAAACCAAGCACAAATGTAAAAAATAATACAATAATTATTAGATCTACCCATAAGTTATCTTACTTGTTCAAGAGTATGCTGAGCAAGATCAGTTGTTGATATCATCACTCCAGCAGCAAAGCTACCCAATTCAAGGCTTAAACCCAGCTTGTCACTACACTGGATGATACAACAATTACGGTAAATAAGCATAGTGCATTTGCATAGCTAATCTCAATAGCATATCATAAAACAGTAGCAGATGGAAAACCAACCATTTGGCAAGGTATCCATCCCGAATAAGAGCAATAAAAATGACATGCTGCAAACTATCTGACCCAATAACCTTCATCTAACATATTGCTCCCTCCGTCCCAAAATAAGTGTCCACGTTTTTATATTAGTTTGTCCCAAAATAATGTTCACTTTCAAAAGTCGGCGTCTACTTCCAATTCTACCCTTAATTATGATATGGAGAAATTTATTACTCTCTCTCTATTACTAGGGGTAAGATTGTCATTTAGTTGATTAAAAAGTATAATAATTACACAATTCTAAAACTGTGCCTTTCTCATTATGGACATTTGTTTTGAGACGATGGGCCGCATCTGGCAAAAATACAAGTAATTACTAAGGAAAGATTGTTGAGTAATGAAGCTAACCGATGCAACTATCAAGCAGAAAGCCACAGACGCCAACTGATAAAGTTCATTGGTCTGCACATTGTCAATGAAATAACATCAAAGCATATGAATCAGAAGGAAGAGAAATTTGATCTGTTTAGGAATCTGAACCAAAAGAAATTGATCAGCCAGAAAGGGATACTGAATACCTGGGATTGAGATGATAGGCTTATCATAAGATTAAGAAACCAAGGAATACAAGTGCGGGATAATATCGACAAAACGGCCAAGAACGTAATCAAGGTCACCAACCTGATAAAACTAAACATTAGGGATGTACAGTGGAAGAAAGAGATTTAACAAAATTAGAGTAACAGATAAGTTACACATTTTCTTGCTAAAGCAACACAAGTACACAACACAAACATGCACCACACCTATCGTGCAACTACAAGGGGAATCTCCATCTGCCAAACCTTCAAGCTAAGCTGCAGTATCCCACTGCACAGATGACAGACGTAGCACTAGACTGGTAACTTCTCTTTTCACTTTCTGAATATGTGGTATAAGTTCGTGTTGTCATGCTTTGGCATAATACAAAATATAACCCACATTAATATGCATATGTGCTTCGCTAAGAATAAATCAAATGTTCTCCTACACAGTGGCATGCAGCTCACCGGTATATATCTGATTGGTTTTTTTGAAAACTGAGAATACAACATTTTATTTGCGCTTATGTGTGCATTTAGTAAAATCCGGAAAGTGAACATCCTATTCCGTCTTTATTAAACCATGAAAGCCAATAGGCAGACACAAAAGGTGCCACAAATAGCATGGAGCAACTGCTACCTGTGACTTGCAGATAAAGATAAGCCAAACACTCAACCGATTCATGAGAGGTTGCAGGTTTAATAGATGAACAGAGAACCAAAAAGATATTGCTTTGTGGTCGCTTTATTGATCAAAATATCACATTACAGAATCGTATGTACGAAAACTAATAGGAAGAAATATTCACAACATAAGCTTCACTAAATTATCTAAACCCACATCAAACAATAACATCAAGCCTTTCATCCAAAATTAGCCGGGTAAGGTAGAAATGGATAGTTGTAAATGGAGAAGAGTAGAGTAAGACACTAGAAGTAGCTCATGAGATAGTCACAGGGGTTCCAATCAAGTCAGAATACACACCTATAAAGATGTTTCACATCCAGACAACAGAAGTACTTGGTTTAATTTTTGGAATGTTGCAGAACTTCAGTTCAAGTTGCTGATGATGGTCAAAAGGTGATTAATTTAGGATGCTAAATCGTGAATCAATGGTTGATACCACGAGATGTGCAGTAAATGAGATTTGTAAGATTACTAGTACATTATGAAGTTCATACAGTTTTGCATATAGAGAATATGATGCCAATTTTTCACTACAGTAGTAGTTGATGCAGTTCTTCAGGTTCAGGTTCATTTACTTACGTCTTTGTCATTGATAACATGCCTTCAAGAACTCCAGAAGTACCACCCAGGATTGGAAGCAGTGCAAACAATAAACCCACCGCACAATCCTGGCACAGAAAGATACATCAAAACCAAGTTGTCAAATAGCCTAGGTGGCATGTGAAGCACCATAGCAACACTGTCTAGCAGTCTTCACTAATTGCTTTAACAATAAATGTCGATCATAGTTGCCTTTTCTACTACCACTGTGGCAAATAAAAAAGAAAGAAGAAACCAACCTGCAAAATAAGGGTACCAACAGTGACTTGCCCATACAGAGTGCTAATACTATTCTTTTCCATTAAAAACTTCAAAACCTGTGGCATGCCAAGACAAGGTGTCAGCATCACCCAAAAAGGGTAAAGTTAATTTGATAAATCTTAGTTGAGTCATTTTAATTTTTAACTTAAAGTCGATGTCTGCTTGTCAAATGATACCAATAGTCTAATATAAAATAATGTAAAGCATTTTTTAAACAATTAACTCTATGGTTGCCCGAATGAATAAAGATTAATGAAGGAGAATTTTCGAAAGAAGAAAGTTCCCTACAACTAATTTGAACTTCAGCACCACAATTGGCTGTCAAGCTAACTCCATCAAAGGAGAAAAATAAATCAGAAGGCATATATAGTTTGGTAAAGTACAACCAAGCCCCAAGTGTAAAATACCTCTTTATAGGTGAGCTCAAGTACGCAAAAGCTCAGCCCCAACTTCTCATTAAGAGTGGCCACATTTTTCGAGTGAATTCCAATGCCAATCAATTCTAATGAATAGCATAACAAATATCTATGTTCCAAGAGCATTGACATTCCCAACATATATGCACAGGTTACCAGATGAATGTGATTGTTGCTTACATGAATTAACTTAAGTAGCTAAAACCAAGCCAAGTCTAAGAAGGAATTCTAATATCATTTGTGATGATGAGTGCATACTAAGAACAAGAGACACTTGAACACTAGCAATTGATATCAATAGTTTTATAATAAAGAATTTAATTGATAAACCTACTTTAAGTTTTTAACTGTGCCACATTGAGCAGGACATTTACCTCATCTTATGGCTAGGGTTGAATAGAGCTCAGAAAGTTGAACTACTTTCGGAAACATGATCAGATTAGAGGACAAGTTTCAAAGAATTGCACCCCTTATACAACTTCATATAAAGAATCTCACAAGTAGGTGTTGTCTATATTATAATGCTGCTATAAAAAATTAATAAATAACTTGAAGAATTCACTTATGCCATATATAATTACCACTGCCGTTGATGACATGGAAAGGAAGGCACCGACAAATACACCTTCAGAAGCTTCACCACCACATAACTGCAAAAGAAATCAAGAACACAAATCAAATAACATGAAGGTAATATCAATGGTCTTTCAACTATGCTATGCTATTAAATCTCCAATCATCCTATTATTTGATGAGAGAATGGAAGATCATAACTATCCATGTCCACTGACATAATTTTCAAAGTTTTGAATAGCACCTAACATGTGACTAATTCTACCGAGCAAATTACCATTTAAGAAGCATACACCTCGACAACCTTGTAACAAAAACCAGATAAATCTGATAAAATAAATGCATACCATAGCAATTACTCCAGACAAGCACATAAAAAGAAATATCTGTAGCAGACCTCCTAAGACAGCAACTGCTCGGACAACACGAAGCTGCAATCATGTAACAGTGAGGACTCGATTACAAAGGTGTCACACAGAGAGAGACCAAAAACATTTTTAATTTATGTGATTCTTTCTCTGTGCGTGTGTGAAAATAGGGGATGTTGGGGTATGTGTGGGTGGTTAGAAAACCTTTGCTGATGAGAACTCCAGGCCCAATGCAAAAAGAAGAAAAATTACACCAAACTGAGCAACAGTCTCAACCTGCATGCATATATCAACAAGACATTAGGATCAATGTGAAGTTAATATGATTATATGACAATTCCCATGAGAGTAAAATTGGATGCTCATAATAATTTATAATAATCCTCATTAAGACAGAGATGATGTGACATACCTGAACCAGTTCATTAACAAAGCTAAGTCCCCCCGGTCCAATCACCGATCCTGCTAGCAAATATCCTGTAATAACCTGCATGGTTTTAAAGCGCAAAGAAATGTTAGAACTATGAAAGACGGTTCTCCATTTAATACATGTCTTAAAAAATATGATAACCCCATAAATAAAGTCTCTGTGTCAGGAAGAGCCTTATTTAATATTATACAAAAATTAAGCAAAAAAGGAGAAAATATCAAATTACTAAGTAATTGATAAAGCATTAATAATGACCAGACCGGCTGCCCAGCACAAGCAAATGCAATCCCACCACAAGTTGCAGAGACAATGACGACAACCAAATCAGATATCAACCTGTCAAAAAGTAACAAGAAGAGTATGCATCAGCTACCAACCTATAGAAAATTTATGGGACATAGACGCAATAACAGAGAAGATGCACAAGTCGAAAGACTCAGTGTTTCATTGGGTGGGGTTGAAAGACATACCTTAGGTCTAATTGTAGCACAGGATACTTAGACTTGGGATTGGACATGATAAAGACATTGTCCTGAGCAAAGATTGAAAATACAAGATCAACTTCTCAAAATTGAATTTGGATTTCATATATACACACACATGCACCAGCAAACACAAAAATGGAAGAACAATTTATTCTAAGGACTTCACTTGATACACTACCTGTCCATCTGCTGGTACATCATATATAAAGTTAAACTTGAAAGAATAAAAATTACCTTGCTATCTATCAGTCTTGGTGTATCTTCAGGACGGTTCTCATTATCCAAATTGAAGACATCATGAAGCTGAAATGACCTAAATTACAAGTAACATAAAGATCAGGTATATTAAACTATTGACTTCCATAACCAGGGAGCAAGAGAATCAAGGAACATCTCAGATTTGTTCTCATCCAAATTGAAAACAACCATATTGGAAGAGCTACATGGATCACAATCATGCACTCTGACTTGTACACAAAAAGAAAATTTTATACAAACAGCAGCACATACTTCTCCTCTTTGCTTTCATTTCTCTTCGACTTGACTCTAGCAACAGTTTCCAGAACTGCCTGACATGTGAAACGTGTCAGCAAATAATGAGAGAGCCATTACTGACTCCATTCCTAGGAAAAGAATTCTAGAAAATTTATGTAAAAGCCAGTGTTTTCCTAGTAGAAGATAGATAATGATTTTGCTACTACTTTCTTAACAAAAAAATTTCAATTTGCAACTACAATAACTTCTCACAAAACTTTGGTCCTAGTACTTTTTGTTCTTGAGCATTTTCGTGACAAAATTGTCAGTGGCATTTACTTGATGGGAGGGAGAAACGAAGATTGGATCCACAATGTGATTAAACTTGCAAGATAACAAATTTCGTAGGTCAAATCTATGGATCCCTTTGGCAGAATCATAGCTAAGAAATGATCGAATCATGATACATTTGGGAGAGTCCCAATAGAAATCTCAATTGTGATCATGCGTCCATAATGTACAGGACATTCGTGGATAATTGGATATTCAAGGGGTCTCCAAAACATGTAAAGGTTAAGCCAACTGACAGTTAGTATTGGTTATTAGCGACAATAACGATCCCTTCTAAACCCTAGACATGCAAGGATCAGTTCATATTTTGATGATATGAAAGGTCACAACATCATATGAGTATGACCTACACCTAAGTAAACAAGGTTATATTTAGAAAACCCATATTTGATTGCTCATTAAAGACCATGCAATGGATTTTCATGCGCTGGGTTTGGTTGGTTAGCCAACAAGGTTGAAACTTCCATGAAAACAATCCAAATCTTAAAACTCTATCACACACCTGTTGCCCTGCCACACTGTTATTGAAGCTCCCAGGATCAGTACCTGGGTAAGAGTGATAAAGGAACACGTTACCAACTTAAGCACAGTAGCTTACGTTTCATTAATGCATAAACCCAAATTTTCAATTAGGACTTCAAAGTAACGATATTCATACACGAAATTCCTAGTGTAAGTAAATAAAACACATGATATCGGAATGTACCTAAATGTCTGCCCTAAATAGCTCAAAAAAAATAAGAACGTATGATTCTCTACTCTACATTCTCAAACTAAATCAGAAGTAACAATCAAACTAAACCTAGCAAAAACATCATCATTGTTAAAATAAACAAAAGAAACAAAAAATTCAAGATCTAACTAACCATCGGACTGTTCATCATTCTCAGGAAACTCCTTCTCAAGAGCACGATCAAGCATGCCAGCAAAGCTATCTTCCTTAGATCTATTTGATCCAGTAGTAGTGACATTAAGGACTCCAACGTCTTCGTTGAAAATTAAGGAATCTTCGGCAGCAAGTAAGCATATAAAGCAGAGAAGATCGAGAAGGAAGAGAGGGAGAAGTGATTTTCGCAACATTATGAGGTTGTAGAGAGATGAAGATGAAGTGAGGAAGGAGGCGTTGGTGAAAGGCAAGAGTGACCGGCGGCGGCGGTGGTGACGACGGCGAGGAGTGGGCGGAGTGTGGCGGAGTGGGAAGTGGAGAAAGGGACTTGAGTGCTGCCGCGGATCGGGGGTGAAGAGAAGTGAGATTGTATGCTTTTCAATTCACGCAAATTTGGGTTGCCGTTCTGGTAGGTAAAGCTTCGTGGATCCAACAAAATTTCCAACACAAAATATAATTTATATGATTTTAATATAAAAAAAAATTAAAATTAATTACAATTTAAAAATATAAAAATAAAATTATGATAATTATYGAGTTCTAACAAAATAATTAATTATTATCTTTATAAAAAGTTGTATTATTAACAAAAAAATATATATGAAAATCTCTAAATTTTAGGAAAATCTTTAAAACTCCACATAAAGAAAAATAGTATTTAATTATTTCTCACCAATAAGAGATGTTGAAAATAAATTTTTATGAAATAGAATTAGGGGTTGTTTGGTAATTATTGAATGATTTGTTGCAGAATGATTAAGTGATCAGAATGATTAAGAGGATCTCATGATATAGTACAAAATGAAATATAATTGTTTGGTAATTGTGTACAATGAAATTATGGCTCTTAATGGTCAAGGGAGATCCAGGATACAAATTTATTAAGAGGGTTTTAGAACCATTAAGAGACAGACTTTTTTTTGCCAAACAAGATTCACCTCTTAACGATTCAGATGTTGCCTCTTAATGAAACTATTAAGAGATAAACAAACAACCCCTAATATTTTATCAAATATATAGAATAATTTAATAGTAAAATTGTTAAATTAGAGTAGATGTTGGAGTTGAACGTAATTATTTTAGAGGTTTTGACGTTTAATATTCAGTAACAAATAACTGTTGGAGATACTCTTACATGGTAAGAGGCACATAAAGACCGAAAAACTTACCCAGTGAGTGAGATTTTTTACCCAATAAGTGACGGGAAAAACTCTTACTCAGCAGGTAATAAACGTTTATCAACAATTAATTTTGAAGGTCAAAAATATTATTTGGTAAGATAAACAAGAATAATGACTCTTACTATATTGGTCCTTGTACTTTTTGACTGTATAGAAGACAAAAATCGATAAAACGACGAAATTGTTCCTTATCTAATAGAATTTTTAAATGCCTTGAGAGATAGCTCCTATTTGTGGTGTACAATTTTGTATCGATGGTTCAAATCCTTCTCTTTCTGTTTCCTTTGATGGAGAGACTAAGGGGTCGTTTACCAAATTTTTACATGAGTAAACACTTATCAAGTTAGATTACCTTAGCATATGAATAAGGCAAAGACAAAAAATCTTATCCGGTAAGAACGAGACATGGATCGAAAGTCTTACCTAGTAATGAGGGCAATGGCTTGGACCACAATTAGCACTTACCGGGTAAAATTGTTGCATACGATACCGTTTTTGTTGACCAGAATCTTACCCGATAGGTAAATGGCAGTGTTAAATTCTACTGATAAGTGCTTACCGAGTAAGTGTTTGGTAAACGACCTGTAAATTCAAACATTTTTTTAAACTACGATACTTGTAATTTCAAAGCCTTTGATGTTTAAGCCCAAATAATTAATAGTAGAGCCCATGGCCCATGGCCCAAAAAATAGCCCATCTATAAATTCTTCCTTTTTCAGTAAACTACATTTTAGTCCCTGTGGTTTAAGATAGGGGTACTTAAGAAACCGACTAACCCGAACAAACCGGCCAACTCAACCTGAAAAAACTTTAAAAAAAAAATCAAATTGAATTAACCTGACACATAGTTGATACAAAATTAGACCAAATAACATCTATTAGGATTTGGGTTGGAATTAGATTAGAGCTATTTGAACCTAACCCGATGTTTTCATATACGATGGATTTAATATGATTGTTAAGTTCTTAATTAATATATATACATTTGATATTAGAACAATCCGTAATTAACGTTATTCAAAATTATGTTACAATTTCAAACGTAATTTTACTTTCTTATTTACATGAACCATTAACATTCTTTTTTGAGTTTGTTAGTTTTTTATATGTTTTCAGTTTAATTTTACTCCGTTTTATAAAATGATATACCAAATTTCAACCCAACTCACACAGTGTGCATTAGGTTGGGTTGAAGTTTTGTTCGGATCGAGTTAGGTTGAGATTTATCAAACCACAAACATTGGGTTGGATTATTCAAATGTCTCCAACCCGACCAACCTAACCCATATGCAACCCTAGTTTATAATTTATTTCTATAGTTTATAATTTACTATTGCTTTTGTCCAAGTGATTTACAATTTATACTTGATAGTAAACTGTTGACACAGTTAGCCTTAAAGACAAAAACAACAACGAATTACAAATCACATGGGTAAAAAAAATAGCTTTAATTATTACTTGTTCCATAGGCAAATACATTTTATTTTGGTGAAATGCATGTAAAAAGGATCATAAAGTGTTTAACAGTTAAAATACAAAAGACCAAGAAAAACCTTTGAGAGAGGGGAGAGGAGGGGAACGACCGAGTAGTGGCACGGGACTATTATGTCAAAGCTTTCAGTTTCAAAAACGATATAGTTGCAACGTATCTTTTTCCCCAATTGATAGAACCATGAAACGATGACCCATACCACTACATGAGTCAATATAGGTTTGCCCTGAATATATATAACAAATTCTTACAATTAAATATTCATGGTTATTACTTGAGCCTTCTCCTATAACCAATCCCACAAAACAAATAGACACTTTAGTCAAGAATATACCAATAGATGAGGACCAAATAATTTTCAAATGAGTAGGGGGTGCATATATATATATATATATATATATATATATATATATATATATATATATATATATATATA